ACTCACCTGTACACTGGAGAGTGTGGTGTACTGGTAAGCTTTGAGCACCAGATAGTTGGCCTCGATGTCTATCAAACCCAGAATCATGTATTTCCACCAGCGCTGCTTCAGGATGGCCAGCAGGTTCCCTTCCCCTAGTACGGCAGAGAGAGAAAGAGAATATCTAAATGCCATGACAGTTTTTAGCTTCAACCCATCAGCCTGATAAACGCTTCTAGTGGAGTGAGGAGAGCATATTAATTGCATATTTCGTACGTTGATAAATGATAATTATTGTCCAAATCCCTGTTGATTTTCTGAATTTATATTTAAGCCAACACACGTCAAATAGCATCAAAGTTGCAAAGATGTGTACACTGCTGCTATGTGCATGTGTGTGCGCATCGACTCAAAGCTTATAATAATAATAATGTGTATTGATATTGGTGATTCTGGCCCCGGTGTTACTTGGTACCGGACGGGAACTACATTTTATGGTGTTGCCTGCTCCTAGTTTCAGCATACTTACAGCATTTACATCAGTACGACACACACACACACACACACACACACCTCTCAGTTTCTGTCCATAATGTACCTTGCCTGACTGCCAGTGTGGTGGTGTAGACCAGAAACAGCAGGATGTAGTTGAGGAAGCTCTGGAACACCGGCGTGTTGGCATGGAATTTATCAGTCAGGTACTTGCTGGTCAGACTGATGGCACAGATTAACAAGGACAGGACCTGACCCAGGGCGAGGGTCACCAGCAGGTCCCTGCAGAGGGGAGGGCGCACGAGCAAAGGGTCATCAGTGTTCCCTTGAGGATGATTTTACATGCGTCAAATGCTTTGTGTTTAACACCAAGGTGATATGATAATCTCATTTACACATTCAGCAGTTACAGAGCAACATTATAAAGATATATCTAAGATTACATAGTTTACAAACAAGCTCAGGGGTCACTTTATTAGGTACATCATTATTGTGTTGGTAGGAGCCCCCTTTGCCTCCAGTATAGCCGGACTTCTTTGTGGTATAAATTCAACTATTTGCTGGAAACATTGCCTAGATATTTCATGTCCATGTTGACATGTCCTCCCGCCGTGTCTGCAGATTTGTCTGTTGCCTTCACGCTAAGAATTTCCCTTTCCACCTCAGCCCAAAAGGACACGTCGTGACTTGATTTGTCAGACCAGGCGACGTATTTCTTTTCCATCTTTGCACCGTCCAGGTTGGTCGAGCATGTGCTCTTTGTAGCAGTGGGACCATAGACAGTGTATAAGAAGTGGATGTAGTCATTATGACGTCATCAATTGGTTTGTGGTCACAAGAGGGTGGAGCTAAGTACAACCAAACGCTGAATAATTTATGCGACCGAAATGTTACAACTAACTTTCGTGAACTGAAAACACACTGTGAAAGGATTTAAGTTAAGACAAAACTGTGAACCGTTAAATTACAGGGCAGCCACACCCTAAAGCATCCCCTGCTATATGGTCTGTTTGACTCTAAATGGACCATCATTTACTAAACAAACATCATGCTGTATTGAAGAAGACTTGAAACTAGAGATTGAGACCATAAACTCATGTTTACAATGTTTACTGAGGTAATAAATCAAGAGAGAAGTAGAGTCATTTTCTCATAGACTTCTATACAATCAGACTTCCATACAACCAGAGGAGTCGCCCCCTGCTGGCTATTAGACAGAGTGCAAGTTTAAGGCACTTCAGCAGTGGATTAATTATGCCGATAGAAGGAAGCCGCCTGAGTAGAACACCACTCAGCAGGGTTAGCCTGCTGTGGGGTTCCACTTCAAGGTTCCACAAGTTGTGTGCTTAGAAATGCTTCTATGTATACAACAGTCGTGATGTTTATTTGAGTTACTGTTGCCTTCTCGCCAGCGTGGCCAACTCTGGAGATCAGCCTGTCTGACATTAAACAATCAAATAATGTTTGGTCTGAACAACAACTGAAACTCTTAACTCTGTCCTGAGATGCTGCCATGTTTGCATTGACGAGATTTGATAATGAAGTGTAAAGGGAAACCAAAATCAAAATCGATATCAATATCAGCCTCCAAAACACAGTATTAGGCTTAAATATCCATAAGCTTCTGTTTGCAGTAGTTAAAGGGCAGCACACCACAAACAATGAAATTTTTGCCTGACTAATTAAGAACTCTGATTTGTCCTCATCTGAAAGGAGGCGGATCATTTTGGAATTCACAGCAGCTATTAGCGAGCTGCAGCTATTTCTTACTGGCTAGTTCTGACTGGAACCCTTGGTTTGGACAAATCTGACCAACATGAGTTTTCTAAGCAGCCCTTTTCCTGCCCGGTTAAAAATAGTGGTGAATATCTATCATTGTTTTATATTTTTGTGTGCACGTATACTGTTCTGTTTGTTTTCCTTCCTTTGGCTGACATGTCGCCATCTGTGCTTGTTTGGGGGCCTGCTTTTATTCTGTCCGCCTACTTTTGATCAAGGATGTATTACAATAACATCTCTCTGTGTCTGTGGCTGCCACAAGAACATCACCACACACACACACACACACACACACACACACACACACACACACACACACACACACACACACACACACACGCCTGATATGTTGGTCTCAATTTCAGCTTGCAGCCAGACTTCACAATCACAAGAGAGGCCAGGGATACCAGGGATAAGAGAACAGCAGATGGCAGGAAAGAGTATGAGACAGTAAGGTGGTTATGAGTTTCGAAGCGCAGATACTGTACACACACACACACACACACATACTGTACACACACACACACACATCATTGTAACGTGATGTCGTCATCACATGATCAAATCGAGACTTGACATTGGATAACGTTAAACATTTTATCCAACTATTCATCATTGCATGTTGGTATTAGAGATCCACCGATTGCGATACCGATACCAGATAACGGTCCGACTCAAATAGCTGGATTGGGTATCAGGGACAATAGGCCAATCTGGTATTAGATACCATTATTTTAATAGATAACAATTCAGTCAATTTAGAATTTCTATATTCATTTTTGCATTTGGTTTTACAAAGTTAGGAAAGCAATGTTGAAGTCAAACCTGATGCTGATGGTTGTCCCACACAGTGAGGCACACAGTTTATTAATAATATTATTATTATTATTAACACTGGTATCAGATCGGTACTTAGTATCGGTCGATAACCAAAGCATCCCTTATCTGTTGTGAGAAAAATGGATAGATATTCATTAAATTAGTATTTGTAAATAGTACTTTTGTAATAGTTTATTTTTATTTTTTATTGTTTATATAGAGTAAGCAGATCTTTTTTTCTCATAGATTGCTACTGACTATATTACCCCCCAAAAATGAAAAACATGACGGCGATGGGCTCGCTTTTTCAAGTTCTAATGAATTATTTTTTGATCAGTGCCCATCTACCATCCAACCCCATCGGCCCCAGTGACACGCACTGTCTATATTTACGCCCGTGATAGGCGGCGAGAGATGTGTGCAACAAACAGTGAGAGTGAGGCATGTAAGTAAGTAGACATGCAGGGGCAGCACAGCAGCCATTGTGCAGTACAAGCACACGCTGAGAAAAAGCCACCCATGGCAGCCAGCGGGCACCGAACCAGCAACACCCTGTCCGCGCTCCGCTCCAGCACCAGAAGGTGCACGGATGCCCAGAGTCAAAACGCTGTAACACATACACGCACACGTGCGCGCACACGCACGCACACACACACACACACACACACACACACACACAACCCACACACACTAACACACGCATGATGTGATGTTCGTGCAAAAGGGAAGATGCTGCATGTTTATGTTGACACATCTGTTGCACAACATGCTGCTGCTTCTTCTTGCAGCAGCAGCCTGAATATGATGTTACAGGTTGAAACAAAATGTGTCCGCAGCGATGAGCTCCTGCTGAGCGTGGGGTGAATGCAAAAAAGGGATGCTCGGCTCGGATCGGTGCCGTCATCATCATCATCATCATCATCATCTTACCTGGTTAGGACCCTCCTGATCCGCTGGTAAAGGCTCGGCGCCGGGGTGCCCGTAACTCTGGGGACGCTCTCCACAGTGGAGACGACAGACATCATTCTATTTTTTCCCCCAGACTGAGCGGAGATCAGCGCATTCTGCTCCGGGGGAGGACGAGGAGGAGGAGGGGGAGGAGGAGGAGGAGAGGGAGGGGACATGAAGCAGGCTCACCTCAGCGGACCCTCCTGGTCTCCGTGTTTGCAGAGCCGAGTTGCAGTTCAAAGGGGAATACACAGCGGCGCGTGGCAACGATGTTATTGTCAAGGCGGAACTAACCTCCCGCATGGATGCGCTTCCCCTCACCCGACGACAAACTACGGGATTCGGAACCGCGTCCTGCCCTTCAACTCACTGTACCACAAGGTGGCGTACTTTTCAGCCAGACACCCTCACGGGGTGAAGCCGTAATACACCAGGATGTGTATCAACGTCAGAAAGAACTACCTTCAAATGACGTGACCACATGTGATTCAACATTTGTATTAACGCTGTGGTTAGTTTGGAGCAGAGCGGGGCTATAGTTTGAATTTTATCATTGCACGAGTCCAAATTCCGGCCATGCCATTCATTCCTCCTCCACTTCCTGTGTCCATCACAGTCAAAAATCAAGAGTTCTTTTATTTATTTTTGCTCTATTTTTTATTCAATTCTATGTATTCAATTCATATAACAAATAAGCGAGAACAAAAAATGAAAAATAAAGTTATAGCAAACTATTCATATACAAATTATTATAAACAATATGAATAAACATGAATACATATTAGGATCATATAAGTGTCCTACCTCCACTACCCTTTACATAACTCAACTTAATATTGATCATATATGCAACTCATAAACAACTACCCCAATGCTATTATGTACAGCCCAAATATCAGATATAACTTAAATAAAATAAAAGCCTGACCCTTCCTCATCCTTATACCTCTTAAAATATGATAATGTTGAACCTCTTCTTGAATTGAATTGAATATTTGGACTTTTCTTGAGTTCTATGGTCAAAGCATTCCACAAATTGAAATACACATCGGTTGCTCTTAGTGGTGCGAACACAACCCCATCTCTCTGTCTGGGAACCTTATTTTATGTTACACAGAAGTACATTATTTATACAATCTTAAATTCTTGACTTTATCTTCACACTTTTTAAGCACGAACAGATTGTAAAACCTACTTCTATGGATTCGGGACACAGCTACACAGACTTACCTTCTGCTGTGAAATAGATGTCATGGTGGGCTGGTGAGTGTTGTCAGGTACGTTGCTGTGGACCTGAGCGCACTGATCAACACTGTTCTCCCATCTCACACCGTTTCACTTGAAGGACTTCTAGCAGACAGAGGATGTCGTGTCTCACCAGAGGAAAACAAGAGATAGTGAGAAGTTAAGAAAATTGACAATATCTTTTCTTTTTTAAAGATATTCAGGGAGGTGAGACACAGCTGAGACATCATCTCAGAGATGACAGCTCTCACCCAGAGAATACTCTATCTGCCATGCAGTGATCAAGTACCAGCTTTTTGTTGCGTACATGTGTGCACTGAAACTGGAAACAAAAACACACAAGTGGCCCAGAACTGTCCGTCAACAAGCCAAGAGCTTTTATTAAAATGTTATCGATGTCAGCCCCGATTGAGACTCTGAGATAGTTGTGCACTAAAATGAAAGGTACATGGAAAGGATTCTGTTGATGAATGAGTTAGCTTTTCTGTCCTCTAAGCCCTCCTTTAAGTTACCACAGTCAGAGAACTTTAATGCTAAAAGGGCCTCCGCTTCATATTACCATCCTGCCAACCGACTGTAATCCACAGAGGCTGGATAAAAAGTCCCTACAAAGTAAAAGTTCGGGTAACTTTCTCAACAAAAGATAAGTTAAGATATCTCAGGGAACAGGGTTTAATTTGTTACTGTGTCATAACATGTTTTAACTTACTTGTTGCTGTACGAACGTTGCCACGCATGCCGGTCAAACAACTGATAACCGTTACTGAAAGAAAAACACGTTTTGTGGCTGCAGCGCATTGTGGTTTATTGAGGGTAATGGCACATTTAAATCCCTGTATGAATGCTGAAAACTCTTATGACACCAAAAAGCTCTCAAGTCCTCTACATTTGTAGCAGAAATCCCTCAGTCAACTTCTTATCAACTAGGGAAACCACTAACTGAAGGAGCCATGTATTATCTAGAGCATGAACACATTTCTCATTTATTTCCTTTGTGCAAACAAACTACAATAACCACCTCGCGGGTGAATGCTTCCGCCAACCAGTCATGTTGCAGTTTACATCCGTCTGTCCACAATGTCACGTCATCATTTTATCCTAGTAGAAATGTGTGTGAAATTGGCCCAATCAGCACGAGTTTCTTGAATTATGGCCAAAAATCAAGTTGTGAGGTCACCGTGACCTTTATACCACCAGATTCTAATCAGTTAACCGTTGGACCAGGTGGACGTTTGTGCCAAATTTGAATTAGACATTCGCTTGAGGCGTTCTCAAACAATTATGTGGACAAGAATGGGACGGACGTGAGGTCACAGTGACCTTAACCTTTGACCTACGAATTCTAATCAGTTCAGGTTTGTCGTTTGTGGCTCCAGTGGTTCCTGAAACATCACGTTCACAAGAATAGAGTGAATGGACGGACCAACAACCCCAGAAACATAATGCACGGGGGCATAAAAAAAAAAAAAATGCAATTAGAAATTTGCCAGTTTTTTTTCTCTGCCAGTTTGAACCAGAAGAACATTTTAATATTTCCAAATGAAAGCGATTTTTTGATCTTTTTCCACAGCAAACATTTTGTCACAACACATAAAGCACAGGTGAAACAATTCTTCTTCTTTTTGTTTTTTTTAGTTCCACCCATATGTCAAAATGTATTCCTCCCCTGGTCGAGGCCGGTTTATTTCTCCTCCAAATGCATTTGTCCAACCTGGAGGTTCGTTTCCAACCTGTCTGACCGTCTCACTGCTCGGTTAACACTTCTTCTCGGTGATGTCACCATGTTTCCAGATGTCAGATGTTGACTTAGAGAGGGCAAAGTTTAGATTAACGACCGTAATGTTTGTCACATCTATGAGTCGAGTGTCAAATGTCGTTCAAATAGAAGTTTGACTAAATGATCTGAACGTAAGGTGGATATACAAGTTTGATGACTCATCACACACCATCTCATGGTCTGCGTCATGAGACCCAAATATGGACCTGTGTTGAGTGAGAACTCACTTAAGTAAACTGTCAGTCAAGATTAGTTATTAGGGGGAGTTTTGTCAGGGACTCCTTTAAAGTGACCTAAAACTGGACTAAAGGGAGACAGTGCATTTCTTTATTTCAGAGCTTGGTCAGTCGAACAGGAGCCTTGAACAAACCTCTGTATGTGTCTGAAGCAATACTACGCACGAACACACGACTGCGAACTGGAGGCCACCGGGACAACAAACAGAGCCACATGAATTTCTCATATTTACACATTATTAACCGCTCTGTCCCTAAGCTCAGCTTCCACCTCCCGGCCTCATGTGTGGTTGGGGTAGTCGAGATTCTCTCCGAGGCACAGATGTATTTCCGGCAAGTGCCTCGCAAAGACGGGCACAAAGCCTCGTTTCTTCTTTTGTCATCCGCCGAGTGAAGGCGAGTCATTTTCCAAGTCTACAGTAGAAAACAGCAGCTGGAGACTGAATGGCAAACAGAGAGCCAAGAGGGTTAGAGAGGACACAGAACAGGGTTTTGTGGAACACCGAGTCTGTGCCGACAGTCCTCTTATGTCAGTGTGTGCGTCTCCGATGTGCTATTTTCTCTTGGCTTTGGAGAGCGTGTTCCAGAAGTCCTGGAATGTGAATTCATTATGAGACAAGAGCTGGTGGCAGGAAGTGAGCCGGCTGGTCTCCTGGTCTTTGAGCTTGTCTTTTGAGTCTGTTAAAGTCCCAGGAGATGGACAGAGTTGGGTAGAGAGGAGACGCGAGGGCCACGGCGGATCGTGGAGGGGTCACCGTATGTCCAAACTCTCCTCTCGACTGTGTGAAGCCCCACACCTCTCTCCTGTTTGAAGAGCCTGACACTGGGAGGGGGGGCGGCACATCACTGGCCCAGCCGCTGATGACAAGAACTGAACCGCTGCAGGACACCCAACAGGTCCTCATAGGAAACATTTCTGTGGGAGGGCAGGGAGCTGAGGACACAGAGCAGGACACACACTTTAAACACATCTGGAGAGGAGAAAAACATACCCGTACTGAGAGCTAAACAGTGCCATCTACTCATGGCACTGGTCATGCTGAAGATTGTTTTCGCTTTCTTTTAGTGATATTAAAGTTCAGACGGCAGCTTACATGAATTCAGTGAGTCTGATGTGCCAGGGGAGGAAGCCCAGCGTGCTGTCCACGGTACCAAACTTCACCACCAGGTCAGGGTCTGGGACGTTCTTGGACTCTGAAACGAACAAGCACAAAGACGGGCGGCATGTCATCAGAAAGACAGATGTGTCCGTATGAAGTCTTTGTATGAACACAGCAAAGAAACAAGAAAAAAAAAAAAAAAAAAAAAGAAAAAACTAAATTTAAACAGAACTATGGGCTTCAATGATGAGGAG